TGTCGCGCTCTCCTCTTTTTGACAAGTCGATCGACATGGTGGCCAGAATTGGCCGCCCCCCGAAGTCCCGAGCGCGAAAGCTTCTGGCCGGTCGCCCCGCCGTAATCCCGTCGCCGCCGCCGCGAATATTTCTTCGTCGGGATGCGCAAGCTTCAGCTAGAGGCGGCTCGTCGCCTGGCCCTTCCCATCCACCATCTGGGAGATGCGCGTCAGGAAATGCGCCCGGCGCAAGATGCCCCGCGTCGCTGACCTCCTCGCCACTCGCAATCTTAATCGCGCTGGCCGCGCCAATGGTGGATAAGATTTTCGACCTGGAGCCAGCCGTCAAACTCGCGAAATGGCAGCGCCGCCACTAAAAAACAGCGGCTCATGTCGTCGATGGCACATGGCAACAGCGAGGGGGTAACAACTTCGATATGGCTTCCTTTCTGAAGGAGGGCATCTCGTCCACATAGTCTCCCTAAGAATGTCTGCTCCTCCTCCGTTTGTCCAAAAAGGGTAGGTTTGCGCTGCTGGGCGGTATTCCCGACATCCCGCCGCTCGCGCTCGCGTCTGGCCCGCCGACGGCGGTGGCTTGGAAAGCGCGGCCGACGGCGCCCTCGACTGCGAACTGCTTGAAAGAGACCGGGGCGCGCCAGGCCTCGCCCTGGAGACTACAGCGCATCGACCGGGCTCAGCCCGGTGGCGTGCCGGCAACTTGTCCATTGAAGCTTCCTGTTGTCGCTCTTCTTCACCTGGCGCGCCTATTTCCTCAGCGAGCTCGGCGATCAGTTTCGCCGCCTCCTCCTCCGCCTCCTGCTAGTCCTGAAGCGATTGCGCTTATAGCTGACGGGTGGGCGCGTGGCGCTCCTCCTTGTAGCGAGCGCGTTCGCGCTCTCTCTTCGCCTTGCGAGTCTCCTCGGGGCCCTTATGCCCCATCCAACTTCTCGCGTAGGTATTCGTTCACGTGTGCAGTGCCCTCCTCGACGCGGTCGTTTCGCGATGGAATCTCATGCCCACGGGCCAAGGCAGGACTGGCACCTTTACGTTGGCGTCGTCGCTGCGGACGGGATGTGACTCGCGCGCGCCCCTCGCCCGTCGCGCAATGATCATGGAGGGGGGGCGGGCGCTGGCGTCGGGGCGCGCCGGGCGAGACTTGATTGCGCACTTGCATCTGAACGTTGCCACGCTGGCCCCGTTGGGCGCGCCCGCCCTTCGGGGGGCCCCAGCCTGGTCTTGGCGAAATGGACCATCGGACGACGATCATCAAGCAACGCGTCGCGGTCGCAAGTTGTCTGCACCGCGCCCGCCCGCGAGCGCCGACGAACGTCTTCGATTCGAAATGCATGGCCGCCCGCTCCGTCACCGCGCCCTTACTCCCAGGGGGTGGCACCATGTTAGGGCTGCTTGACTCGGTGTCCATGGGACAGCCTGGCCTGTGATTCCGATGGAGCTTACACAAGCATACGCTGTGCCTCTGGCGTCGTTCGATAGCTCCCCGTTTGCTGCGACGTATCTGGTCTGCCCCCTCTGCGCGGGTGAATAGTGCGCGGAAGGTGCGGCCATCCGTGCCTCTCTGCGCCTGTGCACTCCCGCTATCGACCGTCGTCGCGTCGCCGTGGCCCAGCGCTGCCACGGGCCCGACCCTCGCCCCCCGCCCCATGAATCGCTCCGCGGCGCCCTCGTCTACGCGCAGTCCGCCTTGAAGCGCGGTGAGAATAATCGCCTGGCCGCGGATGGCGAGGCGGCGGGGGGCGCGAACGCCCTCCCGCGGTCATCGGGTAGGATGTTTGCGTCCTCGATGTCGTCAGATAGTGGACTGTTGATTTGCGCTAGTAGCTCGTTGCCAGGCACTGCGCCAACGCCTCCCCGAGTGGTCTGTGCAATGAATGCACGAGAAGACGGGGGGGGCGAAGGCGAGTGCATGTCGCGCCCCGCCGGGGGCTTGCCATTCTCCGGCGCGTCGCCGCGCCCCAGATCGGCGCCGAGCCCGCGGGGCACGCGGCCGAGCCCTGCCCGCTGCTCGAACGAGATGGGCAAATGAGAGCGCGGCGCCGATGCGTCGTCCAGGCTCCACATATAGTCTGCGGCTCCGTCGAATGCACTCATGTAAATGGAAATCCTGGCGAGGTGCAGCGCGCCCTCTTCAGGGGAGAACTGGTCGTAATCGACGCGCTCAAAAATCTCTGGGCCGGGATGAGCTGCGGCGCCGCAATCCCCGCGCCCATTTCTCTTGCTGCGCCGCGATGCAACGCGCTTTGGAGACCCGCGCGCGTAGCGCAGCTTGAGGCGGCCATCTTCACCGATTGGGGTTTTGCTTCCTACCGTTCCCTTTGCTGGTGGTTCAGCGACCGCGACCCCCCCCCTTGCCCCTGTGGAAAGATTCGCATTCTGATCGGTGGTAAGGGAGGCCATGAACGAAGCAGCGCCCGCGCCGCACTACCTCCTTCGTCCACCTTTACCCTTGCTGCGCTCCTTTGCGCTCAATGGGCGCCTTATACGCGCGCGTTCTCGTCGTGCGGAGCTTGTTTTAACAGCTGGGCACCTCCCATTCTAAGCGGCCCCAAAGGCCAAACTCATAAATTTGTTGTGGGTGTTTGGACGTTGTTGGTGTTCTCGCCGCGTCGGCTTCCCAAGGCTTCCAGACGGCCCTAGGACCTCTGAAGGTCGTCCCAAGAGGGCCCCAAAACAACACAAGAGGGCACCAGACGGTCCAAGAGGCGCCCAAAAGCCAAAGAGGGCCCCAAGACGGCCCCAAAAGGGCTCCAAGAGAAGGAGCACGAACTGAACATCTGATCCTTCTGCTCCAACAACCCCTCAGGAGGCCCCGAGAGGCCCCAATGAGGCCCCCAAGCGATCCCCAAGAAGCACCCCAACAGGCCCGCAAGAGGCCCAAACAAGGCCCGAAACGGCTCCCAAGAGGCGTCCAAACTGCCTCGAAGAGGCCTCCAGCCTCCCACGATATCCCAACGAATATCTCATATGATTCATATTCACAACCCAAGCACGGTGGCGGGACCGAATGCCATTGGATAGTCCGCCGCCCCTTGTTGATTCATCACATGGGTGCTCGGCGCGCTGAACTTCTTACGATTTGGTTTTGGTTCTGTTCCCCAGAAAATCCCCCGTGGGGTTTCGGCCCGCCCCGCGGGCCCCGCGGAAGACCCAGTTGTCAAGGTTCTTCCTGTTCCAGGCGGCTCCAAGATGGCCCGAGATGGCCAAGACGGCTTTGATGGACGGCACAAGAGGGCCCAAGATGCCTCCAAGTCCGCCCAAGCCTCCAAGACGGTCCCAGAGGGCCCAAGAGGCCCCCAAGAGGCGTCCTAGACGGCCCAAGAGGCCTCCAAGAGGACCTCCAGGAAGGCCCGAAGAGGCCCCAATCATTGATGTCCATTTGGTGTTTGAAGGATTTTGGCAGTTGCTTCTTTTCGGCCTCCCGACGGCCCGAGACGGCCCAAGAGCCCCAAAAGATCGCCCCAAGATCGCCCACGAGGCCTCCAAGATGGCCCCAGAACGGCTCAAGAGGACCCCAAGACCGCCCCAGGAGGGCCACAAGATGGCCCAAGAGGCCTCCAAAACGCCCAGGGTGGCCTCCAAGATGGCCATGGAGCACCCCAAGATGGCCCCTCTCGGCCCAGAGAGGCCCCCAATACAACTTTCGACGGCGTCAAACGGCCCAGGGGCCCACTAAGACGGCTCAATATGGCTCTAAGATTGCCCAAGGCGGCCCGAGAGGCACCCAAAAGATCTCCAAGACGGCCAAAGAGGCAGCTAAGGGGACCTCCAGGAAGGCCCGAAGAAGCCAAAATCATTGAGTTTCCTTAGATGTTTGAAGGATGTTGGTCTGTGCTTCTTTTCGGCCTTCCGACGGCCCGAGACGGCCCAAGAGCCCCGAAAGATCGCTCAAGAGGCTTCCAGGATGGCCCCAGAACGGCCGAAAGGGCCCTCAAGACGACTCCAAGGGGGCACCAGACGGCCCAAGAGTCCTACAAGCCGCCCAAGATGGCCTCCAAGACGGCCCTGGAGCACCCCAAGCGGGTCAATTCGGCTCAACGATCCCAAGACGGAGACGGGCCAGGAATGCCCCGAGACGGCCAAAGAGGCTCCCAAGAAGCCCGCAAAGGCTCCCAAGAGGTCTAAGGAGGCCCCAAAGATGCCTCCAACAAATTCCCAGGAAGTTCCCAGGAGGCCCCAAGAGTGCTCCCAGAGGCTCCCAAGATGCCCCTTCCTCCTCCTCCTCCTCCTCCTCCTCCGACTCTTCCTTTTCCTCCTCCTTCTCCTCCCCGCCATCCTCCCCCAAATGTTCTCCGAAGGGTTTCCACAACGGTTGGGGGAACACATGCTCCGATAGCTTGGCAGGGCTCCTGCCACAACGCGCGGCAACATGGGCGATTTCAAAAGGCAGGGGGCGGCGGTGATTCGTCGTAGGCGTCTTCGGTAATGCTTGCCCATTTCACAATGTCACTTGCGTAGCTTATACCAGGTGCACCACCAGCCTGCAAGCGGCCTGCCCCCCCATTCTTCAAAATGGGCACTCCTGGGGGAGACACGAAAGACCCCGAGAGGGTTCGCCGTTGTCCGAGAACGTTGGTTCCGCCGGCAGTGGTGGTAAACTGGGCGGCGCCATTGCCAAGGGTCCTCCAGATGGGAGGGGGGCTCCGCGACAGTCGCCTTGAGGGGCGGCAAAGCAATGGGGGATGGGGCGCTGCGTCTGCTGGGGCTATCAAGCTCGAGCATCGTGCCCAGCTCTGTTCGGCGCGAGCCCCACCTTCGCGCGCTGAAGAGGGGCAGCTCTCCAGTCCAGGCCGCGATGCGCGCCGCGCGAGCATCTTCGCACCACTCGCCATCGCACGGACGTCCATTCCCTGTGTTTTTGTTCGGTTTCGTGCGTGGTTTTTCGGCAAATGGTCAGCGCGGCGCCTGCGGTCACTCTTCTGGCCCGCCCGGCGCCAGTTGCGAAGCACGCGGGTCATCCAACTGAGCGTTTGACTTCCAGCCTCTCCCTTCCCCCATCCACGCTCCTGAGACATGCCCATCAGGACGATGCGCTCGCTGTGGCCATTCAGCAGGGCCGCCTAGGCAGGCGAACGGTGCTAGAACATTGATCTAAGCGGGCGTACCAACCAGCAAAATGCAAGAATCGTCAGCGGGTCAGCCAACCTGGATCGCAATGGATACCACAAGCCATGTTCTTCTCATGAATGAGTGAAGCTGCAAGCAGTGATTCGAGTTGCGTTCACGACTTTCTACATGTCCCCGATGTGAGCATATCTCAGGGCCTTCGGCTTGACAACAGCCTCTAGCGATACATCCATTCGAATACGCCATCCATGGGGAACGCTGCAATATGGAAATATTTGTGGGTCGAAATAAACCTGACGGGACTCCGACCAGAGCCAGTTGCTAATAAGCGCAACCGACATGCCAGCAGCCACCAATCATACTTTTGGCAAAAAGATTGGGAATCCCTTGGGCACGAGCAAGTTGGAAACGCTACCCCGAGCTAATCATCAAGGCGATGAGCCGCAACCTCCATCACAGCTCCCTCTCTTTGCAACGCGCAAGAGAATCAATACACTGGTGAGGCATGAGGGAGGCCACGACCCGCCACAGTCTGCGGGAAGCAATATTATGACACTGGTCAGAGTGAGGGGGCCGAACGGTCATTCACTGTCCCTGGGTGCGTGGCTGATGTGGAATTCCGCGGTGCGGATTCTTGTTGTTGTTTGTTGTTGTTGTTGTTTGTTGTCGTCGTCCCACCCGCAACCCGCCCCGCGACCCACCCGCGACCCACCCCGCGACCCACCCCGCGACCCACCCGCGACCCACCCGCGACCCACCCGCGACCCACCCCGCGACCCACCCCGCGACCCACCCCGCGACCCACCCCGCGACCCCCCCGCGACCCCCCCGCGGCCCACCCCGCGACCCCACCCGCGACCCACCCCGCGACCCCCGCGACCCCCGCGCCGTCGCCACCGACCCGCGTGACCAACTCGCGACCAACCCGCGACCCAAACCACGTTCAGGGTACAAACCACATTTTTCGGCGCCTGCGGCGGGCATATTTCGCATTCGTTTCAGGTGGAGAGCCCGCGGCCCACCCGCGACCACGTTCAGGGTACAAACCATATTTTCGGCGCCTGCTGCGGGCATCCTTTGCATTCGTTCCCTGTGGAGAACCCGCGGCCCACCCGCGACCCAAACCTCGTTCCGTGTACGAACCATTTTTTTTGGCGCTTGCGGCTGGCTGCTTTTGCATTCCTTCCAGGTGGAGGCGGAGAGCCCGCGACCCACCCGCGACCTAAACCACGTTCACTGAACAAACCAATGCCGCACAAGCGCGGCGGCGGATTCTTGCATGCCGTCTGAGCCCGCAAGGACCTCTTCACGCCCCGCACATCCACGCCAGCCCGTCCAGCAACTTTGCCCTGGCGAGTTGCCTTGATCAGAGAAGGCGGGGAGCATAAAGTGGAAAAAAGGATTGCGTTGCAGTTATCTTGGGAAAGGAGGGGGAGGCAGGATGAGTAAACAGGGGACGAGGAGAACGTGGAAGAAGAGAGGATGTAAGGAGAACGTGGAGAAAGAAAAGGAGGAGGAGCAGGAGGACGAGGGGGAGGAGGGGGAGGAGGGGGAGGAGGAGGACGAGGAGGGGGAGGATGGGGAGGATGATGATGATGGACGACAATGGGAGGACGATGATGGAGGCCGATGAGGGGAAGGACGACGATGGGAGGACCATGATGAAAAGACGAGGGGGGGGAGAGGGAGGACGAGGAAGAAGAGGAGGAGGAGGACGACGAGGTGGAGGAGGAGGATGACGATGACGATGAGGACGAGGAAGAGGAGGAGGAGAAGGAGGAGGAAGAGGAGGAGAAGGAGGAGGAGGAGGAGGTGGAGGAGAGCGCCATCGACAAGGAAGGTGGGGGCCACGAGGTCCGCCGGCTCGACGACGCCCGCGTCGCCCGCGCCCGCCCCCTCACTCTTATCCGCAATTGCGGGGTGCTGCGTATCGAAGTGGTGCGGGGGGCAAAAGCAGGCACATATGCGCACACAGCAAAACATGATGGGGAGGGGCAAAAGAAAGGCGCATGGACATGTGCAGAAATGGGCTGGACATGTATAAGCATTACCCAGGAACGGACCGTTCAATACAAAAGCAAGCACTGATGGATCCGCCGTGCTCTTGAATGCTTCGCCAAAGGACGTTGGGCCAGAGCCACATGTTTCACATTCGCGGCATCACTCTTAAGAGTCAGAGCTCGTTGGCAAGAAGGCGACCACGAGTTGGCCTCGAAACGGACTGGTGATGGGGGAACTGGAGACATGCTTCGTGGGAGTAACGGCACATCGCGCTAGGTTCCCATTGCAGAACAGCGCCCTGCGCCAAACGCTGCAAGTGCCCGAGTGCACTATGGACACGAGGCAGCTGAAAAGTCGATGCGGCATGGCCACATGGCAGCGCCATGCGCTCCGTGGCACCCCATCCCGCTGCGATCTGCGATCAAACATCGCAGCGAGGTCTCATGGTGGTCCCCGTGGAACACCCATCCGCTCCGCTGGACCCCCCAGGAGCCCACGGAAGTTACGATACGTAGCACCCCGCAATTGCGGATAAGAGTGAGGGGGCGGGCGCGGGCGACGCGGGCGTCGTCGAGCCGGCGGACCTCGTGGCCCCCACCTTCCTTGTCGATGGCGCTCTCCTCCACCTCCTCCTCCTCCTCCTTCTCCTCCTCTTCCTCCTCCTTCTCCTCCTCCTCTTCCTCGTCCTCATCGTCATCGTCATCCTCCTCCTCCACCTCGTCTCCTCCTCCTCCTCCTCTTCTTCCTCGTCCTCCCTCTCCCCCCCTCGTCTTTTCATCATGGTCCTCCCATTGTCGTCCTCCCCCTCATCGGCCTCCATCATCGTCCTCCCATTGTCGTCCATCATCATCATCCTCCCCATCCTCCCCCTCCTCGTCCTCCTCCTCCCCCTCCTCCCCCTCCTCCCCCTCGTCCTCCTGCTCCTCCTCCTTTTCTTTCTCCACGTTCTCCTTACATCCTCTCTTCTTCCACGTTCTCCTCGTCCCCTGTTTACTCATCCTGCCTCCCCCTCCTTTCCCAAGATAACTGCAACGCAATCCTTTTTTCCACTTTATGCTCCCCGCCTTCTCTGATCAAGGCAACTCGCCAGGGCAAAGTTGCTGGACGGGCTGGCGTGGATGTGCGGGGCGTGAAGAGGTCCTTGCGGGCTCAGACGGCATGCAAGAATCCGCCGCCGCGCTTGTGCGGCGTTGGTTTGTTCAGTGAACGTGGTTTAGGTCGCGGGTGGGTCGCGGGCTCTCCACCTCCACCTGGAAGGAATGCAAAAGCAGCCCGCCGCAAGCGCCAAAAAAATGGTTCGTACACGGAACGAGGTTTGGGTCGCGGGTGGGCCGCGGGTTCTCCACAGGGAACGAATGCAAAGGATGCCCGCCGCAGGCGCCGAAAATATGGTTTGTACCCTGAACGTGGTCGCGGGTGGGCCGCGGGCTCTCCACCTGAAACGAATGCGAAATATGCCCGCCGCAGGCGCCGAAAAATGTGGTTTGTACCCTGAACGTGGTTTGGGTCGCGGGTTGGTCGCGAGTTGGTCACGGGATGTGTCGCGGGCTCTCCAGTTGGAAGGAATGCAAAAAAAGCCCGCCGCAGGCGCCGAAAATTGTGGTTTGTACCTTGAACGTGGTTTGGGTCGAAGGTGGGTCGCGGGTGGGTCGCGGGTGGGTCGCGGGTGGGTCGCGGGTGGGTCGCGGGTGGGTCGCGGGTGGGTCGCGGGTGGGTCGCGGGGTGGGCCGCGGGGGGGTCGCGGGGTGGGTCGCGGGTGGGTCGCGGGTGGGTCGCGGGGTGGGTCGCGGGGTGGGTCGCGGGGTGGGTCGCGGGGTGGGTCGCGGGGTGGGTCGCGGGTGGGTCGCGGGTGGGTCGCGGGTGGGTCGCGGGGTGGGTCGCGGGGTGGGTCGCGGGGTGGGTCGCGGGGCGGGTTGCGGGTGGGACGACGACAACAAACAACAACAACAACAAACAACAACAACAAGAATCCGCACCGCGGAATTCCACATCAGCCACGCACCCAGGGACAGTGAATGACCGTTCGGCCCCCTCACTCTGATTTTCGCAAATCGCAGCCCCCCAGGGGACGGCGAGGTCTCACGGACACCTGCCTGCGTAGGACGTACCTCCGCTGGGCCTCCCTGGAGCCCACGGAAGTGGCGACAGTTTCGCAGACCGCCGGCCCCCAGGGGACGGCGAGGTCTCGTGGTGATCTGCGCGGGACGTACCTCCGCTGGCCCTCCCAGGCGCCCACGGAAGTGGCGACAGTTTCGCAAATCGCAGCCGCCCCAGAGGACGACGAGATGTCGTGGTGATCTGCGTGGGACGTACCTCCGCTGGCCCTCCAGGAGTCCAGGAGCCCCGTGAAAAGGACGTCATTGCGCTGGGCCCCCCAGGAGCCCACGGAAGTGGCGACGGTTTCGCGAATCGCAATCACCCAGGGGACGGCGAGGTCTCGTGGTGATCTGCGTGTGACGCAACTCCGCTGGCCCTCCAAGAAGCCCATCGAAAGTGGCGACAGTTTCGCAAATCGCAGCCGCCCCAGAGGACGACGAGATGTCGTGGTGATCTGCGTGGGACGTACCTCCGCTGGCCCTCCAGGAGTCCAGGAGCCCCGTGAAAAGGACGTCATTGCGCTGGGCCCCCCAGGAGCCCACGGAAGTGGCGACAGTGTCGCAAATCGCAAACACCCAGGGGACGGCGAGGTCTCGTGGTGATCTGCGTGTGACGCAACTCCGCTGGCCCTCCAAGAAGCCCATCGAAAGTGGCGACAGAATCGCAAATCGCAGACGCCCCAGGGGACGGCGAGGTCTCGTGGTGAACTGCGTGGGGCGTGCCTCCGCCGGCCCTCCCAGACGCCCACGGAAGTTTGCGACAATTTCACAAATCGCGGCCCCTCACGGGACGGCGACGTCTCGTGATGATCTGCGCAGGACGCACCTCCGCTGGCCCCCCCAGGAGCCCACGAGAGTGGCGACGGTTTGGCAAATCGCAGCCCCCAGGGGGTGGCGGGATCACGAGGCAGGGAGGAGGAGGAGCAACACCAGGAGGGGGAGAATGGAAGGAGGAAGGAGGAGGAGGAGGAAGAGGAGGAGGAGGAGGAGGAGGAGCGAGCGAGCCGCAGGAGAGGCGTCCGAGTGACGAACACCAACCGCGTGTGAGACCTGAGAGCCACAGGGGTGGCGGGAGGCGGAAGCCTGGGAGAGGGTGGGGCGCCTCAGGAAAACCACACCCAAGAAAACCTCCCAGGCCCAAGTCCAAAAGAAAACACTAGGGGGCAGGGTTCGGGCCAGAACGCGCCGCTCCTGCCCCACGCTGGCGGGGCTCCAGGCCACGGGCAATACGGTCGATCGCCGTGAGCTGGTTCGCCCTAGTCTTTGGATTCTCCGAGAAACCTTGGCACTGCGCCCGCAGCTTGCGGGCGGACCTGAAGGACTCGGACCCGTTGAAATTGCCCCCGCACTTGCGGCAGCAATACACGGAATTAACACAGAAAACGTCATGCCCCAATTCAGCGAATTCGGCAAGCACAGGTTGGGGAACGTCGGCCGTGCCACTGGCAGCAGACACCTGCTCCAGCGGCTGGGGAGGGACCGCGGGGAACCCCGAGGAGGCCTCTAAAGGCCGAGGCGTGGACCCCAACAACCTATCGGCCGCCTCGATGGCCGCCGCTACCCTAGAATCTGAAACACTCAGCCACGCCTCAGAACTCCGCAGAAAGAAGTCCTCGGCAAGGCTCTGGACGAGAGGCGAGGGAGCACATACCCGATCAGCTCCCGAACGAAGAGTCTGGAGGGTACTCGCACTCCGAGCGACACGATTGCACCGTCGACACCGATACTCAGACGTCCTCTGGCAGAAAAGCAACTCGTGGTCCTGGGGCCTCTCGAAAACCACACGCTTGGGCACCTGGGCGAGCTCTGGGTCGTGCACCACGACAGGGTCAGCTCCCCACTTCCGAAACTGCACAACCTGGAAGGCCGCCCACGACACATAGTGCAGGACCTGCTTGTGCTGCTTCAGCCCAGCTGCCAAACTGTCAGCCAGTGTCTTTGACACCATGTGCGCAGCACTGCCACACTTCGCGAAGAAGTCGGCCCAGGCATTGCCGACGTAGGCCTCCAGCTCGTCTGGCGTGGCCGACCCGATGACGTCCTCCAGCTTCCTGTGAGCTGGAGTCCACTGAAACCGCACTGGTGGCAGACGTGGATCGCGTGCTCTGGCAGCCGAAAAAATATCTCTCCAGACTCGGGCGTGCTTCGCTTTGCCAAACTCGAGCCTCTGGTCCCAGGACGCACCCTCCTCCACGAGCGATTTCAGATCAGAAATGAAAACCTCATGCCCAGGATGCCTCTGAAGTCCCATCTTGATGGCATAGCGCTCAGCACGTCCTACTGTCTGCACATAGTAGGGCAAGGGCCCATATACAGCTCTGGCGGGGAGCCACGTGACGGGGTCCAGCTGGCAGACCGACCACCCACACCTACGTACTTCAGGGATGCTGGCCGAGAACCCCGAGCCGTCAGTATATGACGTAGGCCCCCAAGAGCCCAAGACATCTCCCCATTCAAAAACCTCATTGGAGACCGTGGTGTAGTGCGGTACTGCAACAGGCTCTGGAACCCCATAGATCAAGTATCTCTGGTCCCAGTCGGCGCACCCCAGCATCTGACCAGACGCCTGAAGCATGCCACGAACCTCCTGAAGCTGTTCTGGAAACTCATAATACTCCTGGTCGGGGTCCCCTTCGAGGAGCGGCGGGCAGTCGTAAAAGATATGACCCCAACCGGAGTCGCTAGCCTTGCCGCAGGCCTGACATGGCCTAATGGGCCTCCCGTGCTTCATGTCCCGACGCGGTGGGATGGGAAGGTTGTCAGCCCACAAAGCCTGCAGCGCTCCGAGGCGCCTGTGACACTTTATCTTGGCGAGCGCGTGGCGCAGCGCACGATGCCACACGTCCGCCTGCTCGGTGTAAAAATGCTGCTGCAACCTATGGTGCTGCCAGCGCTGAATGCCTTGATGCAGGAACACTTGTAGGTCTGCTGGACATACACGATATAAATCAAAACTGTTTCCCAAATCGTCGACCAGGATGTGCTCTGACGACATAGTCCAGGATATGCGCCTCAAAGTAAGCCAGGTGGCCCCAAGGGGCCCACGCGCCTTGGCCCAGGAAGGTGAACTCTCAAACTTAGCACCCAGACGCACCCAAGCCTCCCGAAGTCTGCTAGGTTGCACTCGCCCGTCCCAGATCCAGGAGGCGTATTTGAGCACAATGTCCGTGGTGGCGTTATATATGGGGTCATAACATTCATCCCGATGAGATATGAGATACGCTGTTACCCCAACCATCGTCTTACCTGGAGCACCATTTAGGACTGCAACACAATGTCGCAACTCACGAAGAGCGCTGTCGCTAACCCCAGCAACTGCACCGCCATGCGCCACTGATGGAAGGGCGCCCGTGCGCCACAAGCTGGTAGCACTCCGCCCCACGGCGGACTTCAACATGCGAAAACGATGCTTGCGCTCTCGAAACTGCACCAACCTACGCTTCTCCATATGCCGAAGAACTCGAGGTCCTGTGAGCTCGTGTCCCAGATTCCTCATGTGGGCCCTGTACGGGATCTTCAAGGTTCCCAGGTGCCTCTTGAGCTGTCCCCAAACCTTTTTGGTTCCCAGGGATACATCCAGACTTCGGCGGCTTCAGGACCATCCCAAGATCTCCTGCATCCGACGTGAACGCCTTGGCCGCTCGGGCCAGGTTGGACACTTCCCTCAATACGGGCGACACGTACTGCAGACCCACATCGTCCATGAGCGTGCGTGGCGTGATAGAGGGTGCAATACTGGCCGTGCGCTGGACCGCTCGGTACGCGAGGAGGTATAGAAGGTACGTGGCGTGCGTGCAGCCCGCAAGAATACCCTGATGGGCCACCAAGGGCCTAGATACAGATCCAAAGCACTTGATCCTTCTCGGCTGACGGTAGGAGCCCAGGAGCAACCACAGGAGCCTCAGCGGGTACCCGAGCTCTCTAGCTTCTCGGAGAAGTGCACTGTGACTGACCATATCGAAGCACTTGGTCATGTCCAAGAGAATGGTGCATGTGTGCTCACCTAAAAGTTCTCCTATCTCCTGGCTCAGGTTGTGGTCGAAGGCTGAATCGGTCGAAGTCTGCCCAGCCCTTGACCCCCACATATGCTCGCACTTATGCGCCTCTTGCCACTCCGCCGAAAGCGGCCGACGTAGCTTTCCCCACAACCTGACGAAGGTATTGCTGAGGACGATCAACCTAGTGTCCCCGTCAGGCTTGGGCAGGCGAACAAGCTCGCTGTAGAGCCTGTCCGTGGGCCAGGCCAGCCAACTCTCAAACAGCATGAACATATCGGCCAGGCTCTGCAAGGCCTGGTCGGACAACACATCGAGCGTGCGTGGCGCGATCCTCGTCTGGCCCGGGGCCGTCTTCAACGGAAAACTCCTGATGGCCCCACGCACCTGCGATGCAGACAAAGGCGGAAGCAAAGGCCACTGAGCGTGGTCGGCAGGCAGCGACAGAGAACATGCACCGTGGTAGGTCCAAACGTCCTTCCACTTGTCGAGCGTGCGGTCAGCCATCTGGTATGGCTGAGCGTCGTGGGAGTAGGCAAGCACCTCCTGTCGAGCCCGAACTTTGGAGGACGAATGTGCCCGAGATGCTCCTCCCAGGAAGGCTTCTTTGGCCCACTGCCTCCAGGCCCTCTCTGACGCTCTTTGTGCCAATCCCAAATGATGATCAGCTCTGGCAATGATGGCCTTGGCTACGTCCTCAAAGTCAGACTCGACCAGGCCAGTCAGCCCTCGCCAAAAGAAGCCTGCGAAGGCAGCATCCAAAACACACAGCACATGCTCTGACCGAGCCGCGCGTCTGTAAAAGGCAGCCACCTCGTTGAAAGCCACTGCGACCTTAGTGTACTGCAGCGGCGTGATGTCACACACGGCAGCGCAGAGCTTGAGGCGCTCGATGTACCTCGCCAGCCGCTTCTTCTCCGCCACAAGGTGCTGGGCCCATCGCTTCAGGCCAGCACGGTCGGCTCCTTGTAGGTACGCCTGCGTGGCGGCTGCCATGACAAGTGCTGCCACTTGAACTGCGGCGGCCCCTCGCGTCCAATGTACTGCATGGCCTTAGCACCCACACAGTCGTAACGCCCCGCCAGCTCGTAGTCCACCCCTCGCAGCACGGAGTCCCAGAGCAGGCTCAGATCGTCGGCACAACTGACCCGTTGGAACTCTGTCTGGAGCCTGTGCCACGGGTAGGGATATCTAGCACAGCCAACTGGCGGCACCACCGCGAAGGGGCGCGGCTCCACAGGGACACGGCACCACGTGGGGCGATCCTCTCCCATGAGCTGCAGCTCTACAGGGAAATGCGGCGGCGGCACGACCGTGGAGTCATACTGGACCTCTGGCTTGCCCTTGATGCGAGACGCTAGATTGGCACAGACGACGAAATAGTCTATGGTGCTCTTGCCCTCGTCGGTGATGCAGGTGTGCTGGTCGGGCACGTAGTGGACGGCTGCCATGGTCTCGACCCAGTTGCGAACATTGAGCGCATCGATGTCGGAGTTCCAGTCGCCACCTAGGATCCAGTCGAGGCCCCGTGAGTTCCATGCTGCCACTCTCTGTGCCAGGGCCCACAGCACCTCAATGTTCTCGCCCGATATGCCAATGGACGTGACAAGATACACACTGGCGACTATGATGCCGCCTGCCACTCCCCAGTTAATCTGTGCACAGACTGCTCGTCCTGGGTAGATAATGTGCCCATCATCAGGTGGGGCTGTGACCATGATGTATGTCGGCACAAGTACAGCGACGCCTCCGAAGTTGGACGTGGCTGAGTCACCCGTGGAGGGCGACGGGGCCCATAGCCCGTGCCATCCAACATCCAAGGCCCTGGCCTGAAACTCGCCAAGCCTGGAGTCGGTAATCCTCAATTCTTGTGCCAGCAAGATAGTTCCTCGATAGGTAGCCAAAAAGTCAAAGAGAGGACCGTAGCTCGTAGCATTCACCGTTGTGATGAGGCCCTTGAGCTGCGGCTGAGATACTGCATGCATTGGCTGCACCTTCGCCTCCGTGCTCCCTGGCGGCAAAGGCGAGGTGGGTGCAGCGCGTTCTTGACCTGATTTCTCGAAGCGTAATCGGGAAGAAGGTGGGGACGAAGATGGCGCTTCATGAAATGCGCCTTCACACAGATCTGCTTCCATGTCAGGCTCAACGTCCTCGAAGAAGTCATGATCGTCATCCGAGGTAGTGCACACTGGGCCACTCTGGCCCGGTGGGGCCCCTGGCAGTCGGTACTCTCTGCCGCCTGAATTCTCCGAGGGCAAGGGCGGTGAGCGGTGCGTGCCGTCCGAAGACGGTCGGTACCCTCTGCCGCCAATCCCCGAAGGTGAGGTCGGTGAGCAGTGCGTGCTGCCAGGGGCCAACCGCGTAGGCGTAGACGGAGTAGCCCTCTGTGATGCCGTGGTCGCCCCAGACGGAGCTGCAGGCTCAACTGAAGTAAGTGGGGCCGCCGTCAGGGTCGGAGCTGTCCCCCGCCCCGAGGAGCGGGCCAGTGGGGGAAGTAATGTAGGCGCCGTAGTGCCAGCCGAGGTCATGGAACTAGACGCCGATGTGGGCAGGGGGGTGTGACTACGAGGGGCTGAATCCCTCCCCCCCCTGCCCAGAATGCTAGCCGCCATCGAAGAAGACTGAGGCGGACTCTCGACATGTTGCGCTGATGTAGAGCTGACCATGGTGACAAAGAGCCAAATCAACAGCATATCAAGCCGAGCACCTTCACGCCGAAGTCTTGGCCTTCTTGGCCACAGTGTCCAAGTAGCTCTGCTGAAGGCGCTTGAACTTCTCACGCACGATGTCAGGGGTGTCGCTCTCCTCGACTGGGACCCCTGCTGCACCCAGCGTCTCACGGTACTCCTGCTCTGACATCTCGATGTCAGGTGGCTCAGCGCAAGACTCATCACCATCCTCATCATCATGGGCAGGTGTAGGTTCAGGCGGCTTGGCTTGCGGCATATTCTGCAGCTTGCTGACCGTGTTGGCCATAGCTTGCAGCTCCTTGACCATGTCAGCGCCGAGACCGAGGCCCGATGCAACCTTGCCCAGCTGCTCCACGCTGACCGCGAAGGTGGGCAGCAAGTCCGCCAACGTCGGTGGCTGGGTGCCCTCGGGCGGCTGGACTCGCGACATAGCGGCTCGAGTCTGCTGCTCCAGGCGGAGGACCTCGGCAGCCGCCTCCTGCAACTTGGAGTCAGTGTCGGCCAGGCCGAGGGTGAGCTCGTCGATCTTCCTCTGCTGCTCGTCGCGAGTGGCCTGGATGGTAGCCTGTCGCGCACGAGCGGAGGACAGCCTTGACGCCAATGCCTTGCCTGATGCTCAATGGGCCTATCCTGAAAGAGCTCCGCATCCAACCTAGCTCGCTCCTCGCGCCATTTGGCCACAATACCAGCGTCAGCAGGGTCAGTAGTGACCCGAAGCAACTGATCCAGCATCTTGATACGGCTCCTCTTGACAGTATCAACATCCCCAGGCGCGGCAGCCCAAGGTGGGCTCGCACCTGTACCCGTAGCCGCTGGCCCTTGCCCAGGGGGATGCTCGCGGAGCTTGGCGAGCTGCGCCTCGAGCTCCTTGACTTTGGCCGCGAGCGACTGCTGCTTGGCCGAGACGCTGGGCTGCGACGCTGCTTTGTTCTCCTTGAAACAGTTGCTCTTGTGCAGGCCGCACTTCTTGCAGTACACCAGGGTGGAGGCGTTGAACCACGGCTGATTCGTGACGTCATGCCTGCACCACTTGCAATACCATGGCGAAGCATTCTCCTTGCGCGTCGGGGCCATGGCGGCGTCGGCGTCGCAGGGACAAGCGGCGAGAGCCACGGCCCTGAGGGCTGCCTGGCCGTGGCGGCAAAACTGATGAGGGAGCCCAACCCCTCGGTGAAGGCGAAAAGCTGTCGAGCGCAAGCGCTCTGGCACTGCCGCGGACTAGCGGTATCCGAGAATGCCAATACGGGCTCAGCCCGCAAAAGCATGAGCCTTGAGCCAAAATGGCTACGGAGGAGGAGGAGGAGGAGGAGAAGGAGGAGGAGGAGGAGGAGGGGTCGGCAGTGCTCGATTCAAAGCGAGTGCCCAACACAGGAGGGTTGGGGAAATATGTGTATACCACCAGGAATGCGTGCGCGAGTTGGAGTGCCCCGTAGTCATGTTAAGATCGAATCCTCAAGTACAAATATGGTGCATGCTCCAAAATGTACATATACATGTAGAGTCTAAGCTAGCCCCACCACCAAGAAACCCCAAAAAAACAACCATGAGGCCTTTGCCCCACAACTTAGGCACGATGGCTGCACGGGCCGGAAGCCACTAGATACGAAGGATGATGGGCTACAGCGTTAGAATCATAATGTGAAGAGGACGTCTAATCTTGATGCACTTAAAGACGACACATCGGTAGTGGAGCCAATCGTGTGCTACGCTATACGTAAGCTAGACAGCTTGTCAGAACTAAGATAATCAAGGTATATGCTAACTTGCACATGTTGAAGAACGCAGTCTGCTTAGCTGGAAGAGTTTGAACGGTTGGACAAATTTTACGCGATGCACCATAATATATGTTATTCAAAGGCGTAGGGAAAGTATGCAAAGAAATCCGCGACCGTGCTCCCTTGCACGTTGAGGCGTATTTGAATGCCAAAGGCTGTCGAGTTCAGGCAAATTCGCCGACCCCCCCCCCCCCCAAAGCCACGATCCCTCGTACAAAACCGCTCCGAGCTTCCAAGACGGCCCAGGCAGGCAACCACTGCCGCCCAAAAGGCCAAAGACGCTCTAAGGCGGCCGAGGCTGGTCTCAAGGCGGCCCAATATTGGCTCAAGACGGCCCGAGGTGCAACCAAGAGGGCAACAACATCTCACCCACCAAGGCCCGATAGACGTTTACATGCTCGCCGTCTCGAGCTCCCGTCAGCTCAAGACGGTCCAAGATGGCCCAAGCGCCCCAAGGGGCCCCCAAGACGGCCGAAGAGGACCCCATGATAGCCCGGGGGCCTCCAAGACGGCTCACAATAGGCT